CACACAAGTAGACTACACTAAGATACATAATTCTGTATATCGGTTTTTGATTTGGATGAACGGTGTTGCCGTGGTTACTAAAAATAGAAATTTCTGTGAAATTCTTTCAAAATGCTACTCCTCCTACAGTTTTGGTCTGATTTCAATATAACTTGGCACACAAGTAGACTACACTAAGATACATAATTCTGTGTATCGGTTTTTGATTTCGATGAACTGTGTTGACGTGCTTCAAAAAATAGAAATTTCCGTGAAATTCTTTCAAAATGCTACTCCTCCTACATGTACAGTTTTGGTCTGATTTCAATGTAACTTGGCACACAAGTAGACTACACTAAGATACATAATTCTGTATATCGGTTTTTGATTTCGATGAACGGTGTTGCTGTGGTTACTAAAAATAGAAATTTCTGTGAAATTATTTCAAAATGCTACACCTCCTACAGTTTTGGTCTGATTTCAATATAACTTGGCACACATGTAGACTACACTAAGTTACATAATTCTGTGTATAGTTTTTCACTTCAATGAACGATGTTGCCACGGTTACTAAAAATAGAAATTTCTGTTTAATACACTCAAAATACTACTCCAAATACAGTTTTAGTCTGATTATAATGTAATGTGGCATGCAAGTAGACTACACTAAAACATAAAGAGACTAAATCAAGGATCATTTTTCTATTAATTGCTGTTGAAAAGTTTCAATTCCCAACTGCCTAAGTACTTTTCTCTTCTTTTGCTATAAGTACAAACCAGTAGAGCTTCAGTCTCGACAGAGACTTCTGGTTTGTCTATTTTTTCTATATTTATTCTTTGTTCAGGACTTTACATTTGCAAATATCCATACACTGCAGATTTGTATTTTTCCCTCGACATCTCACTATTCTTCAGTTAAATGATAGTGCACCTGTAAGTCAAAAGTCAAAATTGCGATTCAAAATGGCGGATATTCATCTTTTTCTTCAAATTATTTAATTCTTAATGTCGTTTACATAGGAGAAAGGATTTGTGAATATTTTACTGAGCGTAGTACAACTATGTAAAATGACTATAGAACACTAATTTGATCACTTTAAATCGGAAAATTTAGTCGTTTAAATTTGAAATGTGCTAATTAGCTTGAAATTGCAATTCAAATGACGTTGTAAACACTCGAATTTCGAAAAATACCCAAAATGCTTAATTCTCGTTCGTTTTGCAGAAAATAAATTACAGTTTTTTTATTCATGAAATAATGTTCAAATATGCAATGAAAGTTGGGGGATATTTTTGTTAATGACTTATGATTTTTATAACACGGATTTTTGTTTAATTACTTTTATTGTTAAGACTAAAATAAATTTTTGACCTCAATTCCGAAGACATTTTACCTTTTACCTGTCTCACCATGCTTCTTCAGATAAAAAGTTAATAATATCATACAATAATTGCTGTTTTGAGGAAAATATGAAAATTAAGCTACCCAAGGAGCAGTATTCCCCGAGCATTAAGGCGAGTGAACCTTCAGTTGTAGAAATTCTTGATCTATTTTTATTCCAGTTTAGAAAAAAATAAATGTGTATGTTCGTGTGGAAGGTCTAGTGCAACATAACTTAGTATGATTTTTAAAATTATTGACCACGACCAATTAGAGGGCTAGTAATTGTTACATCATATAAATCTGAATATATTATAATATCCAAATATAAACATATATATTAAGAATTACCAGTACAATATACGTAAACCATAAATTTTCTTGATTGTCCAGCTCTGATTCCTACATTTGCATTTTGTTATTCTTAGTCAAAAATTCAACTGCATTCTCAAATATTTCATGCTGTGAATGGATAATTTTGTATTGAACAGTGTACATAAATTACACTATCCTAACAAAGAAGGGTGGATCAAGTTGCCTTGTAAAGTTCTTGAACTGTTCAAGAAAATTTTGTTGTCAAGAGACGTGTTGACTATAGAACGAAATCAGGAATGGCTTAGGCCTATTGGTACGAAAGCTTGTAAGCATCTTCTCTAGCCAAGGGTTTCTAATACGCTACTCTCCTCATAAACCCTTGGCATACGGTGTTAATAGAAGTTGTTTTTTTTTTCTCGAGTTCTGATTGGGATTCGGTACAACTCGGTCGACCAATCATCAATTGTTTTTTTGTAACTAACGATATTTGCGTTCGGGATACTTCTTGACTCTTTAATCTCGGAAATGAAAAACGCAAGTAAACAACGATCCGTAAGATAACATGCGATTCTATGAATAGCTATGGTGTCATCCAATATCCTCTAAATATTTGATTAAGAGATTACTTTTTGATCCGACCAATATTTTGGGTTTTCCATAGCAAAACATGGACACTGTCATTATATTCATATTGGGAGACCGGGGTATCATTTAGTGAGCTAATTGCTCATAGTACCTCTAGTGCATTTTGCACATGGTTTAGGAAAACAAAATAGACTTTTCACATTTGAACATAAATGTGTTATTCCTTGAATGTTGGTTGATTGATTGTATATTGTTTAACGCCGAGTCGGCAATTTTTCAGCCATGTTTCGGCGGACTATCAGTTTAAATAATCGGATTTTGAAGGATTTTGGTTTCTCTGGCGCTTACTCTTTTTCGAACTCCAGAGAAACGGTCTTTTACATGCCAAGGGGGTTGTCATCCTTGACACGGGGCACCATTTTACTTGAGTGTTCAAAATACAAAAATTCCGAAGACAGACTGAAATTAAACATATAGCAAATAAAGCTGGAATAGAAGATGTTAGGGGATAATTATAAGTTCTTATAAGTGCTAAAAAGCTAGAACAAAGTGTTCGATGAAATCGGACACGAACTTCTGCAGTAATATTTGATGGTATGCCGAGGGATGTTGAGGTAGAAGTGCGAGTTGATAATGACAGGATTCGGGAGTGATTTTAGGTGGAAGTGAGCTCAAAGGCCTTGGAACTTAAGTCAAGTTTGTTTTAACTATTTCCAGAAAAAAATGAATCTTTTCAAGTATTTTTTGTTTATATTTAATGGACTAATCAATATACTATATATACTCTCTCTCTCTCTCTCTCTCTCTCTCTCTCTCTCTCTCTCTCTCTCTCTCTCTCTCTCTATATATATATATAGACTGTAATTTATTTTCTGCAAAACGAACCAGAATTCAGCAGTTTCTACGAAATTCTAGTGTATACGACGTCATTTTGAATCGCCATTATGAGCTAAATAACACATTTCAAATTTAAACGACTAAATTTTTTATTTAAAGTAATCGAATTAATGTTCTGTTGGCATTTTACATAGTTGTACTACACTCAGTAAAATATTTACAAATCCTTTATACTATGTAAACGACATTAAGATATAATGAATATCCGCCATTTTGAATCGCCAGTTTGACTTGTAACTTACAGCTGGGCCATCATTCAGTTGTACAATAGTGAGATGCAGATGAAAAAATACAAATCTGCGGTGTATGGATATTTACGGATGTAAAATCCTGAACAAAGCGGAATATAGAACAATAGACAAAAAAATCAGAGAAAATTCGAATTAAGTTTAGAAACGACTAAATTTTCTGAGTTTATCTAATAATGTTAGCATTATATTATCATTTTTATACTTGTATTACACTCAGTGAGATATTCACAGATTATTTCTCATTTTTGAACGATATTAAGAGAAAATTAGAAAAATTTGATGTCCGCCATTTTGAATCGCCATTTTACCACTTTCACGCCATTTTCATGAAGGTCAGCATATTTTTTCGGATTCAGCATACTCGAAATAGGTTTAAAAAACTATGCTGGACCAAATAATAATTATTTGCCGTTAGAAGTATTTTTTTCTATAAATCGGACCAGACTAATGTGGAAAACTGCAATGATTAGGTGTAATTTCTTATGATTCTGTTTTGTATTTGCAATTTAGTTGCACACTGATCTATATGTTCATGACTTGTATATAGTTCACAACAAGATATTTACAGATTGATAATGAACAATATTCAAGCTCAAAGTTTATTTGAACAATTCAACGAATTCATGAACAGAGCAAAGAAAAACTTTAAAACATCAGAGATGGGATCAGATGCTACTGAATAAATAGCATCCCTTGTCGACCAGTCACATCCGCCGAATGCTCTCTTTCATGATCGGGGAAAACAGGTATATCCTTTGACAATTTGATGTGTAAAAATAGACAAACAATAAGTATGAAAACAATCAGTCAGCATTTTTGTCTTAATAAGAAGATTATTTTGGCTTTATTGGATTGTATAGACCTACCAAAAATCTAAATAAGACGAAACGTAGCCTCATTTCTGAACATCTTCTGAAAATGGGGTTAATGTCGCTTGATTATAGTCATAAATATACACTGTTGTACATGCTCTGTGCATCGAATCAGCTAAGACACATAACCCAATATACAGATGATTTTTTTAAAGAAAGGCTACGATTTTGTTTTATTCTAAATTTTTGGTCCATAGCATGAAAATACTACTATTTAAGTGTTTGGAAAGATATATATAAAGATGTTTCATATACCGAGTAATCCAATATAGATTTTTTTCGAATTGCAAATTGATTTATTATCTGTTATTTCCTTTTTTTACGTGTATTCCATTCAATGATTTAAAAACTTGAATAAAAACATTAATGATAAAATTTGAAGATAATCAACAGTATGACTTAAATTCGACATTTAAAATATTAGCCAGTTTTATCAAAAAATTGCAAAAAAGACATTCATTTTTTTCGACTATTCTACTGTGAACAAAATATTGTTTGTGTAATCTTTTATTCGCGATTTTTCAGTTAAGATTCCATCCACGACTTATTTTCGAGATTATGACAACATTCTACTTTTTAAAAATACATACGTGAATAACTGGTGCGCACGAGAATTATTCGTGATTAAAAGGGGGTCGCAACACAAATGAATAATGCTCCCTCTTGAATAAAAGTTAGTTTATAATACACTGTATTTGTTCATGCATAATAAGTTTTTCTTTCTGATTTCATTGTTTACAGATCAATACAGGAAATCGGATAAAAAACTTAGAAAAGAAAATCATCAGGAAATGAAGCAAGAAAAAGAAAAAAAAAATGGCGGGAAAATTATAATGAAAATTATCAATAGCTAGAGACTACATTATTTTCCTGAGACATCTCACATGATCCAACCTCTGGGACTTTTTGATTCCGTGTTTTGTACAGATTTGTAGGTTTATAGATTTTTTTATCTTTATCCTTACCTCCTTTTTTCTAACCGTTTTAAAAATACTTTATGAAATTCTACCATACAACCATAGTTTCACTTTTTTATTTTTCAAAATTTGCAAAAACGAATAATTAATTTATATTTGTTGAAACATGCATTTAGAAAACAATGGCAGACAAAGAAATTCAAAAGTTGAAGGAAGAAAAGGTGGAAGAATATGTAACGCTGAAGAAACAAAAGGTGGAAGAAACTCAAAAACAAAAAAAAGTGAAAAAGACTAAAAAACTGAAGCCAGAAAAGGTGGAAGAAACTCAAAATTTGAAACCAGAAAAGGTGGAAGAAACTCAAAAGCTGAAACAAGAAAAGGTGGATCAAAATATAATGCCTGACAAAAGATTATTTTGAAAAATTGAAAGTGAAGTTTTTGTTTTATGCCAAAGTTTCTGCATTTCTACTACTTGATAATCTAGAGGAATTTTGATTTGTATAACATAAAAGCTGAATGACAAATATGTATTTTTTTTCTAGGATGACAGAAAAGCAAATTTTACGTTGATGATATTCACAGGAGCAACAATGGTAAACTGTCTTCATTTAATTCGACAAATAATAAAGATAAGTCTCTACCACCAAGTTAGTGTTCCATATTGAAAATAGAAATGTTTGCTATCTACTATGTAATATATGTGTTTTAACTAGGGATGTCAACGAATATTCGACTATCAGTCTAATAGACCGACGATCGAATAATGAAACGACATTCGAATATTTAATAAATGCAAAAAAGGAGGTGTTAAAGGATTCTCAACTCAAAATTGTAAAGTGTCATTCCTCAAACCATCAAAGTATCTGTCCTCGGACGAATACGAGCTTAAACACAGTCACAGTATTTAAATAAATTTCCAAATTGTTTACATTGAAAGAATAGTAATTACACACCGCAATAATTATTTGTTAATTACTGACCTTTTCTGTTATTGTAGTAAATTATGCAGCCCTATACTGGACTTTGAAAATTATTAATTGGACTTGTACTAATTATAAATTTATTTATTACCTCTAAAAATGTTTGAATTATGAAAAAGGAACCATAGCCGTGAAGTTTCTGAAGAAACTTCGATAGTTATTAAAACAATAATCTCCGCCGATTTTCCGAAAATTCATACATTTTGGAGAATCAATTTCTAGTGTAAATCTACTTCATTTCTACATCTTATCCCTTCTTAAAATTCATCTGAATATCGGTGTTACTTTTTACATAAATTGACGAAAAGGGTTTTTGATTTATGAAAATGCTATCGATGCGATTTTTTTTTCAAAAAATGCTACGAATAGTCGACTATCGTTCGAATAATGCAATCGAATGTTCGACTAAGGAAAATAAATATTTTGACATCCCTAGTTTTAACACATATATATGTTTTTAACACATACTGCCTTTCTAATCTGAGTTAAAATCATTAGTATCTTTACATGTAGTAGGTGAATAAAAGAATAAAACCAATTTTGTTAAGGTTGTCGCAATTGTCTTGGTATCTTGGTGTGACGTTACAAAACGTAGCAAATCCTGTGATCTCAAGGAAGCCGTGGAATACCTACGCCTGAATTTTACTGTATCTTGTAAATATGAAAATTCTAAGAACATCAAACAGATCTGGGGAATAGGGATATCAGCACTTGTCCTGGATTTCGTTTTTCTCTTTTTGAGCCTGATTTTATTGATCATTCCTGGTGAAAGACAAAGAACAGCATATATGTATTTAACTTGCTATTTCATGGTAAGTTTTACTAATTATATTTACGTTACCAAACCTGCATAAAATGACAAATTGATTAGCAAGTATGGAATAACATCTTTATCGTCTATTTTGAAATATTGATAATACAGTCTCATCTTTCCTAGCTGGCCATACAATCATTCGTGTTTTTTGTACTGCTATTGCTCCAGTACAAAACTATTGTAGATTTCAAAACAACTAAAACAAATACGGTATGTTATTAATTTCTTCACACGTGGATAAAGTTTACTTAAGCTCATATTTTAATACTTAACCATAATAAAACGTTAATTACTCAAAATATTTTTTTGAATTTGAGATTTGCTTCTCATCAACAGGATTATGGAGAATTGAAGAGTGCTATGAATATATCACTAACATACAATTTTACTTCGGATGTTATAAGCATCAACGCAAGTACTTCCGACCGTTGGAACAACTTCTTTATCAAGGTAAATTGTTTTTGAAATGTATTTGATTTTAAAACACATATGATTTCATCACCATTCTGACAGTTCTATCTAAAAAACAAGTTTGTGAAACACTGATGTCATCGTTTGAAAGCTAATGGCGAGGATTGACGTTTCTCAAACGCAGGTCAAGTTCCAAGTTCAAGGTCAAAAGATCAAAAGTGTTTGGTATCCCTGGGAAGGTCCTGTCGTAAGGAATGAATCTGTGAAATATGGAAGCTCTAGTACTCACTCTACAAAAGTTATGGCCAAAGTTTATTTTTTCAAAAGAAGACTAATCTCTAAGGCCAAGATAAAAAATATTCATATCCTTTGAAATATTTTTTCACAGTGAATGCAAACTGATGTATAAAAGCTTTAGTACCAACTATTCAGAAGTTATGCCCAAGGTTAAAGTTTGGTAAGTAATTGTAAAAGTGGACCAAATTCCAAAAGTAAGGTCAATAAGTTCAATCTGTTGGTATCCAAAGAAAGGTCTTGTGATAAGAAATACACCTGTGAAATATGTAAGTCATAGCACTACATAATCAAAATTTATGGACCATGATTAAGTTTTTCTGCGAAAAAAGAGATGGATGGACGGACAGGACAAAAACTATATACCTCAGAATCACCGAGTACGAAGCCATACAAAGATAAGTAACATGCAAACAATTTCAATTCATTATTTCTTTTGCAGCAGAATTGAAAAAAAAATCGTTAAGAAACAAGATGTGTTTGCAAAACACTGTTGCCCTGTTTTTGATGTCTTTGTTCGTCTGTCTTCAAAAACTTTACTTTGCTTTTAACTTTGTCTCACATATCTAGCATGTATATTCCATCTGAAAAAGGCTATTCCTGACCTTGGGCTGAGACATAATTTTGCAAAAGTTTACCAAACTTTAGCCTGAGCCGTCGGTTTTAAATTCTTTGAGACATGCCTTTTATCTCACAGAAGTATTTCAATTAACTATACCTTTTAAGTACCACCATATTTTCTTTATACAACCTTAAACTTGGAGTTCAATCAAATCTAAAAACTCTAACTTTGACCAGAACTTTTGAATGACACTTGATAGGACTTCCATATATGACGTTTTTATTCCTTGTAAGAAGGATATGGAGATAACGAACAGTATTCAATCTCAAAGTCCATAAAAATATCACGTTTTTCAAAAACCAACATTTTTGACCTTATGTTCGTCACCTTGGAATATGAGCTGCATTTGGAAATTATAATTTTACCTTTACCGTTTGAATGGTTGCTCCTAAGGAATTCATATTTCATCTGTGCATTTCTTGTACCATGGCCTTTCCTTTAGTACCATAATTTTTTACCCCATACGAAGGACCTTGGAAAGTGACTTAAAAAAACCTTGTTCACATACGAGGGCTGTTCAATAAATAATGTCCTCGATACTCGGAAAGAAAAAAAGCCCTTTTCAATGATTTAGTCTTAATGATTTAATTAAAACACATGTCCGTAACATTTTTATCCAATTTCTGATTAATTTTAGAACAAATTTTTGAATATGGCTATTGTATACTGAAATATGGCAGATACTATGATTTCCTGAACTTCTTTCTTCTTTCTGAAAGGTGCTTTTTTCAAGTTTGGAAAATGAAACAAGTCAAAGGGTGGAAGATCTGGCGAATATTATTGGTGTTACAAATTAAACATTCACTATCTGTTTATCCCCCAAACTTCTTTACTCTTCACCGCGTGTGGGTTTGGACGCTGTCATGAAGAAATTTAATGTAGTGGATTCCTGATTCTGGTTCGATCCTCTCATAAACCTTTTGATTGTTTTGCAAAAAAATTGCTTTCTAAACTTCTCTAGAAATTGAACTGCCTGCCCGAATAAGAATTTGAACAACAAGACCACTGATATTTAAGATAATGGCATAGAAAACTGCTTTCGTGCTTCTGCTTTTCTCAGATCTTGGCTATTTTTGTGAAGTGCATCTTATTGTAAACTTGTTTTGAGAATTCAAAGCATTGGACTCAAGTTTCAATATCTGTTTCAATTTCAGACAAACATGGATAGCTACAATTTTTGATTTTTAAAAATAATTGTTAAAATATTCCTACACGCTTTCGTTTTCACTCATTTATCAAAACATTCGGTGACCATTGAATAATAAGCTTTTTTTAAATTACATTTTACCCGTGAAATACTGTAATTTATTCACTGAATAGTGTGAAAGGATATCAAAATGATATTCTGTCACAGTGTGACGAATATGAGAAGTGCGGGGAAACTCTCAATTTCCCTTCCCATAACGAAGATTGTTGTAAAAAAATCTTCCTTGACCTGATTTAAGATAGATGGAAATAAATAAACCATTCTGACAAAGAATAAAATTGCCAAAATTACCAAAAACATGTTGCTAAATCCATGTTTATGGTGTTTTCACCTCAGTTAGCTATGACATCTCAACCACTCAACTATGACGTCATATAGCCTATGACTGTAATACAAAAAAAAAACAAAAAAAACAGGGGCAAAGGAAAAATCAAAGAATTAAAAAAAAAAAATGTAATAAACAGAAAATTCAATATTTTGTAGCTGAATATGGAATTTATTTCACTCGTGCGACAGGATTTTTTGATATTTTCACTCGTGCTTCGCACTCGTGAAAATATCAAAAATCCTGCCCCACTAGTGAAATAAATTCCTTATTCAACTACAAAACATTTAATATCCTCTATTTACTGCCAAATCTTTACTTAAAAACGTGTATACTGGCCAAAAAATGATGCCTATCAATTTTGTTGTTTCTTAAAGTCAATCAAACATCATTAGTGATAATTTGTTGAATTTTTGCAAACAGCACATTCATTTGGTTGTCGCCAAGGACGGTACCAATTTTTGAAGCCCATTATATAATTTTTGTTCATTGAAATCCATCTGCTCACGTGACTATAAAACAGACATTGGTTGTTGTACATTTTACATATTTCAGTGAATATTTCTTTGGGATTCTTAATGAGTATTACAGGAGCTTTAAAGAAGCGTTTAATTTCACTCTAGTTTACTGATTCTTTACCATTCATTTTCAATGCAGTGTCTCAAATAGCCCTTGTTTTCCAGCTTCTCACAATGAAACTATGTGATGAAAAGTGGTAACATAAACTGTAATCAATTCATTAAAGATTCAATCATAGCAGAAAGAGAAGATTTATGTGTTATGATTTCTATGTTGTATGCCACAGAGCTCAGGACATCATTTATTGAACAGGCCTTGTATTCCTTGCGGTTGGTGGTAGAGTCAAAGTACTGTACAATTTTAATTCTTGTGATAAGTTTTTTTTTTTTGATATCAACAATCTTTCTGTTGAACTTTTACTTTTTAGCTCACCTGAGCCGAAGGCTCAAGTGAGCTTTTCTGATCACATTTTGTCCGTCGTCCGTCCGTCCGTCTGTCTGTCTGTCTGTCCGTCTGTAAACTTTTCACATTTTCGACTTCTTCTCAAGAACCACTGGGCCAATTTTGACCAAACTTGGTACAAAGCATCCTTGGGTGAAGGGGAATTTAAATTGTAAAAATGAAGGGACATATTCCCTCGCAAGGGGAGATAATCAAGAAAAGACAAAAATAGGGTTGGGTCATTAAAAAATCTTCTTCTCAAGAACCACGGGGCCAGTAAAGCTGAAACTTATGTGGAAGCATCCTGGGGTAGTGTAAATTCTAAATTGTTCAAATCATGACCCCCGGGGGAAGGGCGGGGCCACAATGGGGAATCAAATTTTTGTATAGAAATATATAGGAAAAATCTTCGAAAATCTTCTTCTCAAGAACCACTGGGCCAGGAAAGCTGAAGCTTATGTGGTAGCATATTGGTATAATGTAGATTCTAAATTGTTCACATCATGACCCCCGGGAGAAGGGCGGGGCCACAATGGGGAATCAAAGTTTTACATAGAAATATATAGGAAAATTTTTTGAAAAATCTTCTTCTCAAGAACCACTGGGCCAGAAAAGCTGATACTTATGTGGAAGCATCCTGGTATAATGTAGATTCTAAATTGTTCAAATCATGACCCCCGGGGGAAGGGCGGGCCACAATGGGGAATCAAAGTTTTTTATAGAAATATATAGGAAAAATCTTTGAAAATCCTATTCTCAAGAACCACTGGGCCAGAAAAGCTGAAACTTATGTGGAAGCACCCTGGGATAGTGTAGATTCTAAATTGTTCAAATCATGACCCCCGGGGGAAGGGCGGGGCCACAATGGGGAATCAAATTTTTACATAGAAATATATAGGAAAAATATTTGAAAATCTTCTTCTCAAGAACCACTGGGCTAGAAAAGCTGAAACTTATGTGGAAGCATCCTGGTATAATGTAGATTCTAAATTGTTCAAATAATGACCCCCAGGGGAAGGGCGGGGCCACAATGGGGAATCAAAGTTTTATATAGAAATATATAGGAAAAATCTTTGAAAATCATCTCAAGAACCACTGGGCCAGAAAAAGTGAAGCTTATGTGGAAGCATTCTGGGGTAGTGTAAATTCTAAATTATAGGAATCATGACCCCCGGGGGAAGGGCGGGGCCATTATAGGGAATCAAAGTTTTACATAGAAATATATAGGAAAAATCTTTGAAAATCTTCTTCTCAGGAACCACTGGGCCAAAAAAGCTGAAACATATGTGCCCATGGAAGGATCATGGGGTAGTGTAGATTTCAAAATGTCTAAATTATGATCAGTGGGGTAGGGTGGGGATGCATTATGTATAACAAGGGGGAAATCTAGTAAAGAACAGAATGGTCAAAGCTTCTCGTGTGAGCGATGTGGCCCATGGGCCTCTTGTTTTATTTGTACATAAAAACAAAATTTACTTTATAATAAAATACCGTATAAATGTGTATTAATCAATTTAATGTTTTCCATATTCCAGTACGATTGTTGTGCTGTAAACCAAGTCACTAGCACCACCAATGACTTTGACACGACCCCTTGGTGTACTACGTTTGGTTCCTGTCAACAGACAAATTCTCAAATTCCGAAATCTTGTTGTAAAGCATATACAGTCTATGATTATGAAAAGGCGCCAGACAGTTGTCATGCTGAAGTGAAACCTGGAACCTATAGAGATGTAAATATTATAAACATAAAAAAGATTATGAAAATCATATATAAATGCTAGGAATTAGATAAAAATTCACACAGGTGTGCCTAAAGTACTGATCCAAACAATGTGGTGAAGAGTCACAGTATGTTATTATAATCATATCATGAATTATAGATGTCTAAATATTAAAAAATGCAATTGGAGTAAAAATTGTCTGAATTTCTTTTTATTTCAAAAGTGCCACACCAGCAATTTTTATTGTATTGTTTAACATTTCAGAGCTGTTTTACTCGTGTTAAGATGTTGGATGACTTTGCCATTACAGATAACCAGATAGATATAATAGCTACCATATCCTTAACCTTGGGGATTTTGAAAGTATTTATGTTTTGAACACATTTTGAGCTTGAACAGTATCATCAGAAAGAGTACTACATTATGTTATTAAAAATTGAAAATATCTTTGAACCAATTAAACTGACTTTATGTATTATATAAACAAAATATATAATGTACATTATAGAAATCTCTGATGCTCTATTGCACCTTACCGCTTCTTACATCGTATTCACTCTAACGTCTCATTCACTTCAGCGCTTTATTTCCTCTAACATCTTATTCCTTTTTGGCGTTTTATTTTCTCAGACGTCTAAAGCTTCATTCTTACAACTTATTTCTTTAACATTTTATTCAATCAAACGTTTTATTCACTTTTACATGCTCTTCCCTCTTACGTCTTATATACAATCAAACGGTTTAGTCACTTTTACATCCTCTTCCCTCTCTTTTCTCTGACGTCCTATTTAGATATAAAATCTTATTGATCGTCCAATTCCCTCTAATATCTTATCCCGACTTCCTTCTACCACTTTTAACGTTCTATTTCCTTTTAACACATTTTTAGGTCACCTTAGTCACTCAGGTGACCTATTGCTATCCGTTTTTGTCCGTCGGCGTTCGCCATGCATCGTGCGTAAACATTTGAACATTTTCAACTTCTTCTCTGTAACCGCTTAACCAATTTCAACAAATTTTGGCATTGCATAGAAAGCATATGTAGGTAAAGGGAACAACAATTTTGAATTTCAGGGTCCCTGCCCCCCTGGGGCCTGAGAGGTGGGGCTAAAACTACTAAAATTAATCCAATTTTTAAAAATCTTCTTCTTTACTCCTGGACATCAAGCAGTGACACTGTTGGCATGATTGTAATAAGCAGTGAGCCCTCTACCAAAATTATTAAATTCATGGCCCCAGGATCAGATGTTCTGGTGTTAGGGTGGGGCTCTTAATTATATAGTGAAAATGTATTAATTCTTGAAAATCTTCTTCTCTGCTCCTGGGTATTTATCAAACTCACTTGATACACAGTTATATTGAGCAAGAGTGCCTTTTTCAAATTTAAGAAATTGGTGCCCCCTGGGTCAAGGGTTCTAGTGAAGGGGGGGGGGTCTATTTTTTATATAGTGAAAATACATTAATTCTTTGGAAATCTGCTCCTCTAATCCTGGGTATAAAATAAACTAAGTATATAGTTATGATGAGCAATATTGCCTCGAGCTCTTCCGAAATTGTGAAATTCATGGCTCTTAGGTCTGGGCTTCTGGTGTAAGGAGGGGGTACTTGGGGAGAGTGTTACATATTCTGAAAATAATTTTTTTTAAATCTGCTCTTCGGTATTAACCATTTATGATGAGTGAAGATGTCGTTTTGAAATTTTGAAATATGTGGCCCAAGGGTCAGTAATTCTTGTGGGATGTGGTGCACAACTGGTTATAAAGTAGAAATGCCATTTTCTCTTTGTTCGTTGATCTAACCCCGTGGCTATTAATAACCAGTAAGCATGCTAAGTGTAGTTATGATAAGCAATGACGCCCCGTTCAAAATTCTGAATTTCATGGCCTCTGGTTTAAGGGGGATGTACAAGCCATATTGAATCTAGTCTGGTGTAAAATAAAAATACCAAGAATGCGCTTAATACTCTACTAAACTAGTCCAAAGTTACTCAAAGTGCTAATGCACTAATTACCTACTGTTAGAGACCAAAATCAGTTAATAATTAAGTTTATTTTGTTTTAATTAGGAGGAAATTAATCATGTTAGAACTGCGCAGCTACAGCATTCACGAGATGAAAAATGCATTGAATATAGTGTTAATTTGATTCATTGATAATATGGCTACAACCATTTGTTTCGCTTTTTTTCTTGTCATTATCCAAAATTCTTGAAAATTTGATTTTTCATATGGGTGTCTTCCTGAGGCCATGTGTTCATTTCGCCCACCATTCCTCTGTCACACAGAGTTCGAATAGCATTGGTTTTAAAATAAATGCAACCATAATAACATCAAGACAAGAAATTACTAAGTAATAATCATTAGGTTATATTACTTACTACTTTTATTTGTTGCATTGCATCGTCTGATTAATGAAAAAAAGCGATTTTAACCCCACTCCAGCAAATCGGGAAAAACTGTTCTGTTTACAGCTCGAGTTTCCTCGATAATATCATTCCACTGAGCACGTGGTTGGCATGTGCATATATCTGCTGTGGATAGATGCGTTTATTACCATGATTATATATTTAATTTTTCATGGGACAAGTCTTGATGATTTGTTGGTTTCTTTAAAACTCAAGAAAAAAGATAAAACATGGCCTAAACATATGTGATTACGGTGGGTCTTTTTTCTGTGGCGATAGAAGTTATTTTCAAATGGGGCACTGCAAGGAGGATGCTTAGCATTTAATTTGAAAAAGTTAAACAATATACGGTGCATGAAAAACAAATTGTAATTACATGTCTTACATTCGAAAAGTTGGTACATGTGTCTATTTTGTTTAGCAGTTAGATAGAAAAAATAGGCAGTTATAGGATTTCCTTCAGGCACCTCACAAAAATAGCTAGATTGTTTGCAATGAACCACACATAGTATGGAGTAATGTTTGGACATAAAAACGCATCATGTCTCATTATGTTGACAACATTGTAAGCTCTCGCTCATTGAACATACGAAACTTGATAAAATATATTGAGTTGTTTCTTTGAAATTTAGAAGCAAGCACAATGTTTGCAAAGAAAAGTCCATTGCATATGCTATGTCTATCACGCAAAAAAATGAGAGGCTACCCCCCCCCCCCCCAAAAAAAAAATCCTATGTTTGTTTTTCAAAATAGTGCCAAAGATTCAAAAATTTTGCATTAGATGGAACATGTACTAACAATTTGTTATAAAAATATTTGGTTGCCCTCTCTCCCGATCTACCGCCTAGAAATGGTCCGACTCAATTTTTTTTTTACATCCCATTACATGTTTTTTTTTCTTCCGTCAACGAATATGTTTAAAATTTTAGGAATTTTTATCTCACCTATAAATACGGACCCAATAATTTTTCCCTGAGTTGGGAGGACCACCAAACGTCATTAAGATGGTATAAAATGTTTATTAATGTTGATTTTGTTCTTTACTCTGTAAAATTGTAATTTTGACAAAAAGGGCAAATAGAAAAGGTTTTTGTATTCATTAAATCTCCTAACCCACTCTGAATGATTTCATTCCTTTTCAAATGTTGCTCCGCTAAAATCAAAATTGTAAATGTTTATTAGACAGAGTATATGAGGGTAGACCAAAAAGTAAACGATATATCTTAGGTATTTGATAGTTATATTATTGTTGAAATATTCAAGTATTTTTTAAAGTGTAAATTGGAGGTCTTTGATAGCATATTGCTTAATTAAAAACACATCCCTTTTCAAACTTGCTAATATATCACTGGGCAATATAACAAGTATCATATTTAACCATCTGCCTTCCTTCACTAAAACGATCTATCCAATCATTGATTGAATTTGTAGGAAGTCATTTGTCTTAATAAACTATGAACAAATTCTTATATGCTACTTCAAAGGCATTTTTAAGATATACCATAAATATTTTAGTCGTTTGTTAAACGAGTACCACTGAGGCAACCATTTATCGTCACAAGTACCTGCATAATGACGTCATTATGAGCAAAACTTTATTCAGCATATATGCTATTTTATAGAACTTGTGTTTGGCTATGTGTGCACCAAATTTGTTTCTAATCTGAATTGTGGTTTTGTAGATATAGAGATAGTTCGCGAACTTTTTGATCACCCCTCGTACTAGTAGGTACTAAATCAAGGTCATTCATATCGATTTTATGTGTTTAATTTCTTTGTGTTTCATTGGTGATAATTAAAATTTTGATATATATTATAAGTTATCTGTGGCAAACTTACAAACTCTTAATTCTTAACTTTGATGGTGCTCATTTTTCCTTACCTGCAATAAAAGAGTTTAAGATTTTTTTTCTTTGATATCAATAAGTACATTATTTAACAACTGTGCGATAATAATACTAAATAAATTACTTCAAGCCATACTATAACACATTTCTTCTTTTAAAAGTGTTCATACTATTTGAAATATTTTGCAACTGTAATTCTCTTCCACATTTAAAGATTGTTATGTCCCTCCATATTAAGAAGAGGTCTGGAAAACAAAATTCTGTGCTAAAAATAGACCACGTGCTGCTATCCATGAACTACTTTCATGGTTCTTTACACTCTTTTTCAAGACAACGATACCTTGTTTTGAACTTGAAATTATCATTTAAAAGTGCAAAATTTAGACATTTTCTCAACAAATGGTTGTAGAGAGAACATTGATGCACAGTTTGCATATTTTTTTTGATTTTTTAACGCTCTGCTGAATTCTGTAGCTGCGCAGTTCTAAGGAGCATATCAAAAGCATTTTTCTGCAAAAGTATAGGTTATATATGCACAACATGCATTCAGTTATGAATATTTATTGTATCTTTATCATAAGGACTTAAAATTTGATCAAAATATGATGTATTTTAGCCATTTGAAGAAATGTTTACATTTTGTTCTCACAGCACTAAAGGTGGCCGTACATCCTCCTTAAAACACGAACCAAAGTGTATTGTTGGAAAGTTGTTGAATGATACTCATGTGACCTATAAGGCCCGTGGGTCTCTTATTTCCTTTAACTTGATAAGCAATGACGCCCCGTTCAAAATTCTGAATTTCATGGCCTCTGGTTTAAAACACGAACCAAAGTGTATTGTTGGAAAGTTGTTGAATGATACTCATGTGACCTATAAGGCCCGTGGGTCTCTTATTTCCTTTAACTTGATCTTCCCTATATCGTATTATTCACTGTTACATCTTATCTTCATCTAACGTCTTATACCCTCTAAAGTCTTACTCTCTAACTTTTCAGGTTGTTGGAATCATCCTGGCTGTTGGGATATTTCTGGGACTCTGCAGTAGGAAGACAACTCAAAATTGTAAAACAAACCACGGTGATCAATGTTTAGATGCAATTCCAACAGAGAATAACAAACCAAATGACTTATGATGAGTTTTTATCTGAGAAATATAGCTTTATATCAATAAATCACACTACCTTTTGTAAGGATACGATTTTTAGGAAGAAATTATAGCTTTACATCAACAAACCTCACTATACCTTTTGTAAGGATGTGATCCTAACGAAGAAATTATAGCCTTAAAACGTGATTTTTTAGAAAATAAAAATTATGCAATGTTATATATTTAAAATGTAACATCTAATTTTTTAACATAAAAAAACATTTTTTTATTTTGAAAAAAAATATCAAGGTACTTTATAACAGCATTTTTTAAACTGTTATCATTTTTTTTCACCCCTTATCCACATCATAACTCCTCTTTGACTGGTAGACAAGAGGCTTACTCCCAAAAACACCTGACCAATTTTGCACTGGAAATCGATGAACTAGACTTTAAGATATTAAAAGCTTCATATTCACATTTTCCGTCAACGAAAAAATTGCAGATTCACCCGAAAATTTGATAATGGAATTGATTTAAATACCGAGAATCTCTACTTTCAACCATGCAAAAATTATTATAGTGCCCCCCCCCCAAAAAAAAACAAACCAAAAAACTTTTATGGACTGTAATATGTGTAAATGTATGAACTAACACCGTGATTGACGTAAAATTGGAAATGTTGAAAAAACAGGTCATAAATGATAACACTGGCTTGTTAGACTGTACACGTACAGGAGGGATGGGAAATTTTCTTTCAACAATTTGTAAATAATAAAATTGTGACGATTTATTGATAATGTAGATAATGTCATATTACATGTACAGAAAACAATACACAGACATTTACTGATGTTTTACTGCAATTATCAGAGACTTTATATAATGTTGTGAGTTGACGACTTGATATGCTTCTCGCTTCTTTTTAATAAAAAAATGAAACATAACTCTGTTGTTTTTCCCATATCGTTTGTACTTTAACCATTGCAGTATTCGAGATTTTCACCTCAAAACATGCATATGCATTGTGAAAAATATAACCCCCGATAAAAGATCCACCTTAACTCCAGATCTAATATTTCAAAAAGAGAAATGTTTGCATTTTTATACTACTTAATCTGTCCTTATCTCTCTAGAAGAATTTTTGATTTCCGATATATTTTATTGTAAAAAATAATATTCCTTTTATTGTCTCACCTTAGTCCAGGAACCGTTATGAACCGTAAAAGTGATGTTTATTGTGGAGACATGAACAAACACTGGAAAAAAGAATATGGATGAGGTCAAATGGTCATTTAAAAAATTAAAAATTTTTTAATAATTGTTGAAAACGACAAACACCCCGTTTGTCGTTTTCAACAATTATTAAAAATTTTTTTTGTTGTTTGCCTAAGTAGTTGAAAACATGTAAATATTTTATATCAAACTTACTAATCATCTAAAAGAGAAAACTCCAAAGGACATATGTACAGGCTTTAGGGGAGTTATACTGCTTATCAAAGTCAAAACATTGGATTAACGTAGAACGGATCACAAATAAAACTAGAGATACTGTGAGCAGTGAGCTTACTAAATGATACCCGTATGATTATAAATGGCAAGGTCTATGTTTTGCTCTGAAAGAGACCCGAAATAAGTGTCAGATCAAAAAGTAAAATAGGAGGTCCACAATGGCATTACGTAAAAAAGAATCTGTGAAAGTATCATTAAATTTTATTCAGTGGTATAAAGGAGGAGTTGCGGATAAGTGATGGGTACCCTTCAATATTATAGAAAGAATGGCAGCGTCATTGTTTTGCTATGCGAAACCCAAAATATGTGTCGGATCAAAAAATAAAATATATAGAAGGTACACAATGGCGTTCCATACGTTATATGCAAATACAACAGACCCTCAGTTTCATAAAGTTTTAGTTCTTGTATAGAGGTTATATAGAACGAAAGAATTGCACCCACTCCACAATGTGACGCTTAAGTCTTGTCTGTGTCTCATGCGATTTAAAATTTGGTGAGGCTTCACGGTTTATAAAGCGTAAACTGCCCCAAGTTATGTTATATAGTATAATATAAGTTGAAATAAGCTTCATTCCTTAAATAAAAAAGCAATTGAAAGACATCACAAGCCAGGCATTCAGCATCAGTATGACAGAAATTTGTATGTTACATAGATCATTAGAGTATTATTCCATTTGATTTTATATTTGTAAGTTAAATATATTTATGAAAGGAAGAGAGGTTAAAGAAATGATACAACTGCATCTTTTTTTTTTTTACAGTGATGTTGTTTCTACAACAATGTTGTGTGTGACCAAGTTTGAATCAGGCTGCAAGAATCATTCAATATTTAAAATATCAAAACCAGTAATACAACAGCTTCATACAGCATGCAAAGCTGGTAAGGACAAGATTTAGAAAAATAATATGACTCAATTTCTTTAAATATTCCACCAGTTACTGTAGTATATAAAATATGGTCTGTTTCTGAGAACAATCTCCTTTTAAAAATAAAGATTAAATTGACATATTCATCAAAGATTTGTAAACCTATTAAAGCAAAGTCTTCTTCCAAAATTGTAAAATTATTTGCTGGATTGCCCATAGTTCAGAACCCAGTGTCGAATATCTGTCATGTGTTTCTATCTTTTAAAAAAATCTACAAGATTATTAAATCAAACTCAAATATACATGTAGATTAAGGTGCATTTTTATGTTCCATGTTTGCATTAAAGGTGATTTGAATTCTTTTTAAATAATCTTACATTAATTATGAACCTTTAGGTGAAAATAATTCACGGGGCTTTTTTGTCAATATTTTTAGGAATAGAAAAAAAACGTACTGACGCTCTTTACATTATATACTGGATTCTACTTGTAGTTTGTAAGGGCGGATGCCTATATGGATTGGATTTTCCAATTGAGAACTGCACGTAAGTATTTTGTATTTATAACTGATTTTTATTATTTTCCTTGTAACAATTTTACAGTTTGGCTTCATTTAGAATATAAACACTCTTTTAAAACTATGAAAAAAGGCGAGGTCCTTAGCATTTTTATTGTGGAGATAACTTATATTACGGTTTGAATAAATCTAAAACTTCAAAAAACTTATGGTGACACATCTTTTATTGACACACAGAGATCTATATTGTGTCTGGAATCCCAACTTGAGAATTGTCCACAGAATAAAGACATACAAAGGAAAATTAAGGGATTGAAAAATCTTTGTTCTGACATATCTAGGAAGACAGGTTTGAGTTTTTTTTAATGAATGGGGGAAATATGTTTTTTAAATAATTTAATATTTGAAAAAGAAAAGAAATCATGAAATATACAAAAATGCTTCCTCTTAAGATTGCATTATTGGCCTTTTAAAGGTATGAATTCCTTCAAGACTTGTCTTGCCAGCTCCAAAATTAAACAGAACTGCAAGCAATTCTTAAAACCACCTTTGCAAAAAGAAACGGAAAGTAACGAATGCAAGTAAGTGTTACTTTTTCCTTATGTTAAAACAGAAAGATTGATTTCGACTTTTAAAAAAAATGTATATAGTTTGTAATATTTTTCATTCCAATAATTAGTTGGAAAAAAATTGATATTCAAAGCGCCCCACAAGAATTAATTATAAATAAGTGTTGATAATGTTAATTTTTTTTGGCCTAGAGTAAAGATTTAGTACCCAAATAAGGCAAGCTACATGTTCACGGTCACGAATAATTTTTCATGGACTTATGTAGGTTCATATAAGTACTCCTTTTAAGTTGGTACAAAATTCACATAAAGACTGTTATATATTTTTTGTTTAAATGTGACTACCTCTTTTTTATATGTTATCACAGAAGAATATCAGATTATTCATCATGTGCTACGATGGCTTTACCTACGTGTGATAATGAAGAAATTAAGGAATTTGTATCAGAAACTGCTAAAACACTTACGATTTTGAATTCAAGGCGTGAAGGTGGCATCCAGTGTCAATCGAGTAAGTTGAAAATTGGCGGTAAAATAAGGATAAATTACAAGCTTGTTTTCTTTTCAGTTCAGTGATTTCGAGACACTTCAAAGAAGTTGTACATAGCTATCAGTAACAATAACTGCCAAAAGGAACTGGAAAATGTATTATCTGTCCAAATTGTCTTTGTTCGAGATGTTTTTAAAACGATTAAATGTTATTTATCAATGTCAGTGAAAATCGGGAAAAACATGCCATGCCAGATGGTAGGAAATAAAATATGATTTTATTTACATATTGTAGATTGGTGAAATTGTGCTCTCTTGGAATCCGCTTTAATTCATGAAGGGTTCAACAATTATTTTTCTTAAATGTATAGGTTGATCATGGGTTAAGCTGAAATATATTTTGAAATACAATAAGTGAACTTAACATCAATTAAATTTTATCATTATTAGTTTCTTGATTATCATAAATATAAAGTTAATTGATTTAAAATGGAATGTATGATTAAAAATTATTACGGTCGCTACAGTCAAACCTAAAGCATCAGGGTTACTCGCTCTCTCCGTGGACAGAAGGGTCTGAGTTTGAATCTCGTCTGCGACTGACCTAAATCGACAAAAAATAGATAGAAACTGTTCATTCGCCATGCACTCGGCAGTTTGAAGTGAATGTTGCTGGTCCTTCGGATAAGACCTTAAAATCCGAGGCCCCTTGTCACGGCGGGCGTTGGCACGATAAAGATCCATCACTGTTTAAAGATCCTGAGTGCCGAGTAAAGGTCCAAATTTGAAGCTCCTCACAGGTATATAACAACATATGAGTGAAAAATTCTCAAATTGGGACGTTAAAGGAGCTAGGTGGTTGTGGCCATTTTAAGACTATTTTGATCTCCTGTAGAAGAAGAGCTCCATATAGAGATATAATAAAATGATCAAATTTTAAAACTAAAATTTATGAAATTTTTCTTTGCCAAATGATAGTTGACAGCTTATGTTATCATATCTAGAAAAAAAAAGTTATATCTGGTGGTTAATTAAAAGATTATTTATTAATTTGACCCCCTAGCCTCTTTAAACAACATTCTATAAATCAATTAATCAAACCTAAGACGTACATGTAAGCATGTGTATTGACTGTTCTCAAAAGAAGTGAAGGTCAGGATTCTGTGGATGAGACAATTGAAACGGAAGCTTCCTGTCGCCAGCTCGTTGGCACAACAGCACAGTAGCCCCCTGAGAGCCATGAAATGTTGAAAATATGGAGATTAACGAACAGTATTAGATTTCAGAATTCAATGCAAACAATACAAATCAGGAGCAGAGAAATCACGGACATCTTAAACATCAGGGTTAAAAAAATTGAAGCCCTTCATCGGTACATGTATATGGTGACTTCCCCAAATGATTGAGAAAATTTAAACCACAAAATACAATAAATCAAACAAATTTAAACAAGGATATTGATTTTCCAACGTAATGATGTAATAAATTGTGAATAATTTATTGCATCTGTAGTGAATTTTATAAGGTTTTAGGATTACAACATATTTTCTATGCATTTAAAATACAATTATTTTTCAGGTGACGGGAGAACATATTTTCCGGATTTATCGACCCTCGTTCTTACAGGTCTCCTTACGTGGATGAGCATTTCCTTTTAAAACAACTACCTCAGTATTGTTTATTACAATGTATTACTTTTTAAAAAAAAAATTTTTAAACAATTTTTCTTGTAAATTTGGCTGTATCTAAAACGAGTGCATAGTGTAAAACTGCTTACGTAAATAATCGTATGGAAGTATTAGTTTCTCTAGAATGCGTCTGATATTTATTTATTTATATTGATGAATATTTTCTATTATAAAGAACGTTAGCTAGAATTCAAATCTGAACTCATGCTCACACATTGTTGAAAGGTATTCTAAAGGAGTTATTTGAAGATATCTGACAGTAGTATGGAATACAGTTTTAAGGTTCATTACTTAATCAACAAATGTGAGCATTACTTTATAGATGTATGAATGCAATAAAGATACAAAAATACATTGGTAAAATATTAAAATATTTTGAAGAAAAAAATTAAAGCAAACTTTTAGAATGTATATTTTACCTAGCGAATTATTTTCTTATTCTGTAATGGTGACATTCTTCCATTAAAAAAATATGATTGTAATCTTCCTTCTGGAAAAAGGCTTTTTATAAGAATGTTGTATGAATAATATATGTATCTTATGAAAAACAATCATCAAGTATGTAATGTAAATATGTGTTTCATTTCTTATAATTACATGTAACTTGCAAATGTATTTAAAGGGATATGGTCACAGTTTCACGAAAGATTTTCGTTTTTTCCCCATGTCTATAAAAACTTAATTAAAGGTATTTTTAATTATCATTAAAAATTGAATTTCAGTTGTCGAGAAAAAAGACAGAAATAGAACCTCAAAGCTTTGTTATTTAAACAAGGGTCGTGTTGTTTTGTTTGCATCTTAGGTTAAATATACTTATATGTTTTCTTTTAATGCATTTTTTTTCAATTAAGAAGTTAGCTCTATATACGATTAGACAGTTTCAAGTGATTTGCTGAATCTGGTTTTATTATTAATTTGATATTATATATATGTAAACAAAAATAAGGCACGAGTCTTTATGAGCTTTATGAGAAATTTAAAGTTCTGTATCTCTTTTGTCAATCAGCAAATGATGTTCAATGTTTTGCTGATTATTTGAATTGCCTTAATAAGGAATTTTAAACATTAACATAGGTCTAGTTTTTTGGGTATCCAGAGCATTAATGATAGTTGGAAACGTGGGATATCTTACATAACGGATGGAACCCGTTTTACATAAATTATCCCAAGTCTACAACTGTTCTTGATGTCCCCTAGCATATACCCAATATACTAGACAGTGATTCTTTATATTTACATTTTATTGTGACATAAAATTGTAAAATATAGATTTAAAAAAAAAAGTCTAATAGATTTAAATTACACGAGGCCTCCTAAGTATGTAAATTTCAATACCCCCCCACCCCACTGACGTCAAACACTAAAACAGCTGCACAAAAATTACATGCATATTAGGCCTCCCTAGCTCCTGAATTTTCCATTTCAGAAATAAATGTTCCGGTTGAATTATCAACTCACCTTCCTATCAAAGAGTTATCACAGAGAAAACAAGTAGAAGTCTAATATATTCACTTTAGAATAGTCTGTTATAAAAGAGAACAGGGGATCGGACTACATGTATTTCAACGCTTGATCTATACGTCCGATATGCGTTTTCATAATCATTACAACATCAATAGTAGAAGTCAGAACACAAACAAAAGGATAAGTTTTCATGTATTGCAATGGGTCTATTGTAAAGCAGTAACATTTTATTCGCCACAACAACAAAACATTTTTCCAAACAAAAGATACGATGTAGAATTCTTTTAATTTGTAATGTGACACTTCGTAATTGTTGATGGGGATTCATCCGTTGAATAGAAGGTTCTGTGTTCTTTTATTCGTTTTAAATATATGCAAGCTCTTTACCTTTTCCATCAACAATATGCAATAGGCAAACATGCTTTTGCGTTATCACAAATGCATGTGATGCAAGTAATGCCATAGTAATTAATCTGAATAGTAATCGATTTATTCAATCCGTAAAGAATGGAACATGTGCGCATCTGCATCATAATTTATTACTCTAGTAAGCGGATATACGGAGATCTAAATTTTTCACACTACAGGTAAGAAACACCTAGAATTTCTTCAAGGAAAAAAGAAGCTTGTGCTTCATTTATTACCACTAAAAATATTCAAAACGTATTTATTTCATAACTCTGCAATACATTAAATTTTATGAAGAGTCATACATTTGCACATGTAAGAGTAAGAACCACACCTAAAAGACATGTTACAGTTATTTTCGTCTATTTTTCTGAAATATCTGGTTTTCAATTTCAAGGAAAGATTAATTTGCCCTTTTAAAAAGGAATCCGTTTTAGGTAGTTTTATAATTATTATTTGTTATTCAGGATGTAACTGCTTAGGGTAAAATACTGACTGGAATGGATTGGAGTGGATTGGATTGAAGTTATATAATATATATCAAAAGCATTAGATACAAATTGAAGCAGGTTTGAAGCATGAAGCGAACTTACTTTTTGCCAAAATTAGATTTATGTCTAAGTAATTTTAAGGTCATTTCATGAGAAGAAAATCTTCACCATATAGAATGAGCGGAGCATAGCAAATTTTATTTGACGAATTTTTTTTCTTTATATGACCTTACTGACTTCAGAACCCTAGCTAAACAATGAATTAGAAATAAATCCTTTCTATTAATTAGAAATTAAAACATTATTGTTATGTAAACATTTTGTTTGTATTAATGATGAGCTAACTCGCCAAGCAATCCTTTAAGTTACGTGTAAGTGTCCTTTCCTTTTGGAAAACTGTCCATTCTTTTCAATAATGAACATTATTTCAATGCTCAAAACTGAATTTTTACAAAGCTTGAATTTAAGTGGCTCATGGAGGCTTATTGATTTCCGTAAGATAATTCGCATGATCCTACCTCTAGAATTTCTGGGTTCCTGTTCAATATTTGTACGTATATAGATTTTTTTTATGTTGAACCCTGTTCGTTATAAACACTCTTTTTCTTTCTACCATTTTAAAAGTACTTTATAAATACTACCAAACAACCACTTTTACGTTTGGAAAACGATTAATGATTTTATATATTTGTTGAAACATGCATTCAGAAAACAATGGCAGACAAAGAAAACAAACTGAAGGAAAAAAATATGGATGAATTGAAGCAAGAAAAAGTGAAAGGAAATAAAAAACGAAAGCAGACGATGGCGGAAGAAAATAAAAAACGGAATAATGAAAAGGTGGATTAAAATCTAATATCTTTAAGATCATTATCTGAAAAAAATAAAGAAAAAGTAATTTTTTTTATTTCAAAGTTGCTGCATTACTTCTTATTGATAATCTAAACCAATTTTATAAAGATAATTTAATTAAGAACTGAATGACATTAATGTTTTTTTTTATCTAGGCTCACGAAAAAGCCAGTTGTACGTTGATGATACTCACAGGAACAATAATGGTAAACTTTCCTTATTCAATTTTTTGAATAATAATGGTCACCCACGTGATGTAGTGGTAAGAGCATTTGCTCTAGAATCACGGAGTAGGAGTCAATCCTTACGTCGGAGGTTCAAACTCTACTATGGGACGTAGAGACTGGTCCTTTGGATGAGACCGTTTTAAAAGCCGAGGCCCCGTGTCGCAGTAGGTGTTGGCATGAAAAAGATCCTTCATCACTGCCCAATGACAAAATTTGCAGCTCTCCACCGGCAGGTGGTGGCGTCTCTATATGAGTGAAAAATTCTCGAGAGGAATACAAACAAACAAATAAACGAATAATAGTGATTAGTCTCTTCCCCCAAGTTAATGTTTATATTGAAAATAGAGATGCTTGTTATCTGCTATGTATTTTTCGTGTTTTTGACATCAATTATCTATCGATTGGTCACCTTTTTAACCTGAGAATTAAAATCAATTGTCACTTGAATTGTAGAATAAAATCAATTTTTGCAAAGGTTGTTGCAGTGGTCTTGGCATCTTGGTGTGATGTTACGAAACGTATCAAATCCTGTGATCTCAAGGAAGCCGTGGAATACCTACGCCTAAATTTTTCTGTATCTTGTAAGTATGAAAATTCTAAGAACATCAAACAGATCTGGGAAATAGGGATATCAGCACTTGTCCTGGATTTCGTATTTCTGTGTATGAGCCTGATTTTAGTGATGATTCCTGGTGAAAGACGAAGAACAGGATATATAGCTTGTTATTTCGTGGTAAGTTTTACTAATTATATTTACGTTACCGAACCTGCATATAATTACTTACTGATTTTAAAGTGTGGAATAACATCTTCTTTATCGTCTATTTTACAATATTGATTATACAGTCTCATATTTCCTAGCTGGCCATACAACCCCTTGTGTTATCAGTTCTGCTTTTTCTCCGGTACAACAATATCGTCGATTCCAAAACGACGAAAACGGATACGGTACGTTATCAATTTATTCAAACGTGCATGAAGTTTACTCAAGTTTATATTTTGATACAGATACCAAACCATATCATCACTGTGTTTTAACGTATTATACCTAAAAGGATATTTTATTTAAGATAAGCTTAGTGTGCCAAAGCCTTTACTATTAATATTCTTCCACAGGATTATGGAGAACTGAAGCGTCTAATGATTCAATCACTCACAGACAATTTTACTTCGGATGTTATAAGCATCAGCGATAGTACTTCCGACCGTTGGAACAACTTCTTTATCAAGGTTAATTGCATTCAAAATGTAGCTTTTTGAAAACATTTATGATTTTATCACCATTTCGAAACCCCGCATGGCAGCTGATGGCGGGGATTGAAGTTTCTCAAGTGCATATCAACTCCAAAGTTGTAGGTTAAAAAGTCAAAAGTGTTGGTTTCCAAAGGAAGGTCTTGTCATAAGGAATACACCTGTGAAATATGACAGCTCTGGTACTAACTGTTCAAAATTTATGGCCAAGGTTAAAGTTTTTTAAAAGTTGAAGGTCAAAAGTACAAAAATATTTATATCCACTGAAAAGTTTTGTCACAATAAATGCACGTGTGAAATATATATATATATTGTTATGGGTCAGAATTACCCGAAATGCCAGCAAAGATCAATAACACAATTTAAACTTAACAATAATTTATTTACAGTAATATATAATAAGTATACGAAACGTAAAGTACAAACTTAGCAAGAATCTAAAAATACATACATCAGAGTGTCCGTTGCTGCACACAATGTCCCAGTGAAAATATATCCCAGTAATATCTCAATAGTGCTTATACGGCAAAGTATTCACAATTATTGTATATGCATCGAATTGACAGGGTATTTATACAGTATCATAAATCTAGAAATTGTTAAAACATGATATTACTGGAACAATCTGGACATACACAAAATTTAAGAATGTTCTAGATCAAATGACCGAACATATTGACCACTCTGGAATGTTCAAGAAACTTAATGTCACTAACAATAGACATGATGAAACAATACAAATATAACACACCTCACAACACCTCCCCCCTTAAAAAGTTTGAATGTCAATGAAAACTTATATTATTAAAACATACGTACATTAATACAAAATCTAGTATGTTTACGATACTCTTGACAAGGCGTCTGCAATAACATTG